TTAAAAAGATATTACGAGAGAAATTTTAAAACATTCAATGAATAAAAATGAAGATATAGTACCACTTTTTACATAAGGCACCACAGTGCTTACAGGGAAATATATAGCTGTAAAGCCTATACAAGAAAATGAGAAAGATCTCATTTCTTTTTCTTTTTTTTTTTCTTTGGTACCAGGGATCAAACTCGGGTCCTTGCGCTTGCGAGGCAGGTGGCGGAACCACTGAGCTAAATCCCTGGCCCTGTTGTTGTTGTTTCTTTCTTTCTTTTTTTTTTTTTTTTGAAGATCTCATTTCAATCTTTAACTTTTCACACTTAAAAAAAACCCAGAAGAGTAAATTAAACTCAAAGCAAATAGAAGCATGAATAATAACAGATAAGGTAGAAATGAATATGCATAGTCATATTTATAACAGCACAATTTTTAATAGCTTAATCTTGGAAACAGTGTATATGTGCATCAAAAGGTGACTAGATAAAGAAAATGTGGTATTTATACACAATGGAGTACACTGTGACATAAAGAAAGATAAATAAGGTATTCAAAGGTAAATGGATACTACTAGAGTACATACTGTTAAATTAGTCAGACACATAAACTTAAGTATCACATGTTTCCTCTTATATGAAAAATGGGGGGAGAAGGAGGGATAGAGGAGAAGGAGGGGAGATAGACCAAAATACAAGATAGATAAATAGAAAATATGGAATTCAAATAATTCCAAAGTTACCTATTCTTTTGTTTTAAAAATATCTTAATAGATATGCCAGTTTCATTTATACTGCTTTCTTTTAGCTCACTGAAAAGAAAGTTTTTTGCTATTATCTGTTTCTTTGTAAGAGAATCTTTTAGTCTATGTCTTGTATTCAGAGCAACTTCTTTCAGCATTATAATAAATGGTGTATTAAAATACTCAACAAAACATAAGTGCAACACCCTTAAGCTCATAAAGGTAATACAAAAAAATAATACTGATAATGCTGTTTTCAAAATGAAGGATACTGTACATGATTTCCTCTTAAGATCAGAAAAAGACAAGTATGTATGCTCTTATCATTGTAGTCAATATAGTACTGGAGGTTCTAGAAATTATACACTTAAAAACGGAAAAAGCATCCACAAATAGGAAGATTTAAAATTTTCTTTTTTTGCAGATTTTTTTTGTACTGGGGCTTGAACCCAAGGCCTGCACACTGAACTGCATTCCAGTTCCTTTATTTTGATACAGGGTTTTGCTAAGTGGCTAAAGTTCTCGAAGCTGGGCTCCCATTTATGGTCCACCTGTTCTGACCTTCCAGTGTGTGAGAATTACAGCTATGTGCCACCACACCTGGCCAGATTACATAGTCTTGTGTCTAGAAAATTCTAAAGAAGCCACTAATAATCCATTCAAATGAATAAATGTGCTTGTGTACTTTGTTGCAGAATTCAGTATCTAGGTTGAAAATTGATATTTTTCTATACACATGGAATGACAAATCTATATGACAAGAAAGAAAACTGTGGTAGCATCCAAAATAATTATCTAGAAATGAATTTAACAAAGAAATTGCAAATTAAAGAACTGAAAAAACACATTTGGAGAGCAATTTGCTATGAGTGCATCCCGTCTCTTTGTAAGGAAGCATAAAAAGACATAGTAGGGAAGCAAACATTTTCTGTAAGGACATTTTTCCAGTATCATTTCTAAAACCAAAGTGAGAAAAAATCTTAAGGGCACAGAGAGAAGAATTAGTTAAATGAATATGACATAGTACAGTCATAAAATGATAAAGTATATATAATTTCTTTTAAAAAAGTATTTGGAATAATTTTGAAACAGAAATTCATGCATAATTTTTAATTGATACAATCAATTAAAATATGACTTGAAAACAGTTGCTGAAGGATTATTTAATTAAAATTACAAATTAGAAATTTTGGTATAGAGATGGATAGAAGGAGAGATAGAAAAATAGATATAAAACAAAATATTGCCAGTACTCATTATGAAATATTAGGATTTAGGATATTGTTTATTTTTCCTTCTGCTCTTCTAATTCCCATTAAATCTGCAAATAAAGTTTAATGTATTTTTTTCCTTTTATTAAGTTTATTGGTACAATCTAGGTATACAATAGTT